AGGTCCAGATCGACACCTCCCGCCACCTGCTCACCATCGCCGGGTAAGCGGCCCCTGGGCCTGGGACAGAGGAGCTGGGAGCGGCAGCAGCTCATCGTGTCCTGTTCCCTGCGGCCTGAATCCCACGTCTCCTCTTGGGGATGGGGCTGCGGCAGCTGGGAGCACGAGAAGTCACGCAGGGCACTCAAGTGGAGGGAGGAGCAGCGGAAGGAATCTTACTCCAAGGACGACAGTGAGAAGGACTCTGACACCGGTGATGACCAGCCGGACATCGTGGAGCCACCGGAGGTGGCCTCAGCCCGGGAGAGCATCGCCGCCCTGGTGGGCGAGCAGAAGAAGCTGCGCAAGCAGAAGGTGCCCCGGGGTCTGGGGGCACCATGAGGGGCTGGGGTTGAGTAGTAGTTTGTGGTCCGAGCAGTCAGAAGGTGGGCACAGAGGGCCCATGCGGGAGCAGCCCCTGGTTGCAAGGCCTGAGATACAGCTTCGAGGGTGGGGCCTCGGGATGGAGCTTCAGCCGCGAGCCCAGGAGTCCAGAGGCAGGAGGGGAGGGGACAGGAGCGGCCCCCTGCCCGCTGCCTGGCGCTGATCCCCCACCCACCCGCAGCTGGCGCTGGAGCAGCGCTGCCGGGAGCTCAGCGCGCGGGGCCGCGGCCTGGAGGAGACGCTGCCGGGGCGCATCGGCTCCGAGCAGCAGCGGGAGGTGCTGAGCCTGCTGTGCCGCGTGCACGAGCTCGAGGTGGAGAACACGGAGATGCAGTCGCACGCGCTGCTCCGCGACGGGGCGCTCCGCCACCGCCGCGAGGCCGTGCGCCGCCTGGAGCAGCACCGCACCCTGTGCGACGAGATCATCCAGGGCCAGCGGCAGATCATCGACGGTAGGTCCGGCGCCTCTGAGCCACGCACGGGTCCCATCCACCTGCAGAGGGTCCGGGGGCACGCCTGAGCCCTGCCCCTCCTCCAGCAGACTACAACCTGGCCGTCCCCCAACACCTGGAGGAACTCTATGAGGTGTACCTGCGGGAGCTGGAGGAGGGCAGCCTGGAGCAGGCCACCATCATGGACAGGGTGGCCTCCAGAGCCCTGCAGGTGGGCACCAGAGCATGTTGGGGGGGGGGGCTGATGCCCAAGGCAATGCCTGCAGGGAGCTGGGATGGCCATGGGACCCGGCTGGCCGACACCCAGGAGCTGACTCCCTTTCCTCTATCCTGCCCCAAGCCTTGCCAAGCCCAAGTCAGTTCGCTGCCACGGGGGATGCCTGACAGCCACAGCTTAGCCCTCAGGACCCAGAACACTGCCCTCTGGGGCTCCCAGCCCACCTTGCAGCCCTGGTCTCCCCATGTGTCTTTGCCACCCTGTGCTGTTACCTGGCCCAGGACCAAGCCTTCTGACTGTCCACCCCTGCCCCCCTCCCCAGGACAGCTCCTTCCCCAGAATCACCCCAGTGGGAACCATGCTGACCCCGGAGGCTGAGCTGGAGAGCGTGAAGACGCTGAGCTCTGAAGCCCAGCGCGTGCAGAACAGCATCCTCCCTCCCCTCAGCACGGAGAGGTGAGACCAGGGACCACTTCCCACCAGCCCTGCCTGCCTGGGCCACCATGAGATGCCAACCCAGATTGAGGCTTCCTGGGGAAGATGGAACAGGAGCAAAAGCGGGGAGGTGGCACAGGTCTGGAGCCAGGACTCCTGGGTTCTCTCCCCCCTTCACAGAAATAGCTCTCCCTGGCATGGGGGTGGGACCTCTGTGGGACCAGCTTGGTTACCAGATGCCCATCTTCTTCTGCCAGCCTCAGTGAAGCCAACCCCATGTTCAAGGCCAGTCCACGGGCGTGGCAGGTGAAAAGCTCTTCTGTGCCCACTCCACCCCCCATCCAGATCGGCAGCCTGGTGACCCAGGAGGTGAGCTCTGAGCACCTACTGGCCCCAGAGGCTCCTCTGCTGAGCGTGGAGCACCAGGGTGCACACCCAGCTGTCAGGATGAAGCCTCTCCAGAATGCCCACCCCCACCCCCGATGCCCTGCTGTCTCTGCTGATGGGCGTGGGGTCTCCACTGTGTTCAATGCCTTTCTCTTCAAGACCACTTTGTCCTGCAGGCCCCCACTCAGGACATCCTGGTGAGCCTGAGCAGCCGAATCAACTCTTCCCCGGACAGCAGCGAGAATCTGTCAGAGATCCCCTTGTCCCACAAAGGTGTGTCCCCAGCCCGAGCCTGGCACCACTCACTGCTCAGATCATCCAGCCTCAAGTCCTTTCCTCCCTCTGCACGCCGAACGCACCCATGCACCAGGTGCTGCCAATTGTATGAAGGAGGCACAAGTGCCCAGAGCGGGTTAACCATCAGGGACACACAGAGCTGGGGCACAGCCATAAATCAGAATGGGGAACATATGGCACTTGGGGTCATGCCCCCCTTCCCACTCAGTAATAACTGCAATAGCAAATGCAGATCAAATCCGAACCCCTTGCCATACACTGAGCCCATTGTCTCAGTTAAAGCTCAGTCACCTGTGGGGTTCGTGTTACCACCTCCAGTTTACAGATGAAAGTGAGGCTCCGAAATGTGCCCCAGGTTTCCTAAATGGCAAGCAAGTGGGGGTACTGGGATTGAACCCCAAACATTCTGGCTCCTACCCATTTCTGCCTTGGCCCAAGAGGGGTGTTGGAGGTGCAGGAGGGAAAGGAATATGAGGCCTTGACCCCAGGTTGGGCGCTCCCTGTGTCCCCCTGCAGAGCGGAAAGAGATCCTGACTGCCACCAAGTACATCTCCGTGAAGGCTGCCCGGAGACGCTCGAGGGCCCTGGGAACCGAGGGGCGCCACCTGCTGGCACCTGCGATGGAGCGCAGCAGCCTGTCCCTGCACTCGCTTAGCGAGGCTGACGACTCGCGGCCACCGGGCCCACTAGCCTGCAAGCGGCCGCCCAGCCCCACGCTGCAGCACGCTGCCAGCGAGGACAACCTGTCCAGCAGCACGGGCGATGCCCCTTCCCAGGTGGTCGGGCATCGTGGCGATGGCCCTGGGCCCTGGCTGCGTGGCCAGAAGAAAAGCCTGGGCAAGAAACGGGAGGAGTCGCTGGAGGCAAAGAGGAGGAAGCGGAGGTCCCGATCTTTCGAGGTCACAGGGCAAAGGGTGAGGCCAGGGGTGGGGCCCTTCTTTGTGGGTGGGGGCCTGAGGGCTGGGTTCCTCCAGAGGTTCTGAGGCATCTGCACCAGCCCCGCACCATCCTCCACGCCTCTGTCCCCCAGGCTGGCACAGTAGCTGGGGGCAGATCCCTGTAGCACATCCGGGGGCAGCTCACACCTCACCTCACTGTTCTCCAACTGACACAGCTTGCCCGCCCCAAGACACACCTCCTGGGACCCCGTCCCCTGGAGAGCACCTCAGACCACAGGATGCCAGTGTGTGGGCACCCACCCCCTGGTATCCGGCATCTGGGAAAGGTGACGCTGCCTTTGGCCAAGGTTAAACTCCCTCCAAGCCAGAACACAGGTCAGTACCAGCAAGAAGGGGTGGGGAAGGGGAGCCCTTGGCCTGCCAAGGGAGGAGGTAGGTTGAGCCTCTATGGCTGCCCCTGGCTGGAAACAGGGTTCTTGCAGAATATCGTGGGAGTGGCATCCTGGGGTTGTGCCCCTAGGGAGTTCAAGACCACTGGGTGATCAGAGAGGGGAGGGGGAGGCATTCCTAACCCCTGCTTCTGGCCTTTCTCCTGTTTCAGGCCCTGGGGTTTCCTCCCCGCTCGCTGTTCCCTCCAATCCAGCTGGTGTCTCCCGACGGGCTACCCGGGGGCCCCGCCTGCCCCACGGCGCAAGCACCCATGGCAAAGACGGACGCTTCCGGCATAACTGAGGGGCCCTGCCTGGAACCGGCCCTCCTGCCCCCAAGACTGAATGGGGTGTAGTGGGAAATGGGAGATGGAAGCTGGGCAGATGGGGGTGGCCTGGAAGCAGGAGCTCAGGATCTCAGAAGGCCGGGGCTCCTGAGACCCAGGAATTATGAGGGTGCCTGCCCAACCCTTCCACGTGTGCAGTGCCATCGGGGAAGGGAGGTGAGCCCAGGGGGCACAGCCAGGATGACAGGGCTCCTTGGCCTCCCAGCCTTGGACAGAACCCTGTTGCCAAAACTCTGCACAGACCAGACTCGGCCTCGGAAGTGGGGGGAGGGAGTTGTTAGTGGGACAGGGCTTCTGGGCCCATGCCTGGGGCAAGGATATCTTGGATGGTGGGGAAGTGGCCAGCAGATATTTCTCATACTATGGGTGGGGTGGGGGAGGGAAGGAATATGGTTTCCTTACTTGGCGGTGACTTCCTTTTTAACAGTAAAATCCCATTTGGTTCTTGACAGTGGTGTTGGAAACTAGGCCTTGTCTGGAACCAGGTGGCCGTGACTGAACTCCCTCGCCCCTCCCCCCCAACACCCTATCTCACTCTGGCTGGTAGCACAGTGCCAACCTACAAACACTTGGGGGAAAGGGGTGTTTCTGTAGACCCCGAGGCCCCTCCCAGGTGTCATGTCCTGTCACATCTGTCCAGGCTCCCTCCCAGATTTGGGGTGGCCAAGACCACATAAAGCCTCACAACCTGAAATGGTTACCCCAGGGAAATCCAGGCTCAGAAATTGCCCAGCTAAGCCCCTCAGCTTCAAGGTAAGAAGACTCCTGGGACTGCAGTGGCCCAGGCTTCCCCCTAGCCTGATCATTCAGATGCTCTTATCTGCCCAGTTCCACGTAGGGGTGGGGAGCCTGGGGAAAAGCTAATGAAACACAGGGAACCCCTAGATCTGTGGGACCCCCCCCCCCCCTTGGGCTGACTTTTCCTGGGGGCTGGGTGGTGTAATCATCCTTGCGTCTCCGAGCATCGGTTTATTCAGCCAAAAACACCTTCCAGTGAGCTTTGAAATCAGCTTCTGAAACCAGGCATCTGGTCTACCACTCACCGGGGCTCTATCCGACGTCACCAGCACCCGGTGACTCCGGGGTCCAGTGTAGGCACCCCCCCCTTGCAGCGCCCCTCCCAGTCCCTTCGGGCCACCTATGCCAGGCCTTTATTCCCCAGTCGGGAAGCGTCGCGCCCCCTGGCTACCGGGGGTCCGGATGAGGGTGTGGTAGACGGGCTTGACGATGAGGTGGAGGTGCAGCGCGTTCTCCACCAGGAACTCGGAGTTGCGCCGCTGCAGGTCTGCGTGCGCCAGGAAGTCGCCCGCCTCCTCGCTGCTCTGGTGGAAGCTGTAGGCGTGGCGGACCAGCAGGCGGCCGTGCAGCCGCGCCCCCACCAGCACCGTCTTCTGGAAGCT